TTGCTAGAACACATCCTAAACAACAACCAAATAAAGACTTGGATGACTGCCTTCGGTCCATGAACTTGGCGTCTCCGCCTTCGGTCGCCTTGACTTGGCACAATGGCCTTCAGTTAGTCTGACTCATCACAAGGCGTTTGGTCAATTGGCTTGGAATTTCGGCCCTTGGCCCCAAACACATCAAATATAAGCCATACAACAATTAACAACATCAAATATAATTCACATAGTTCCTAGTCTCACCTAACCTAACAGTAAGCATATAACACCCAAAAGTTATGTAGTAAGGAACTCACCTCGAACTGTATGTAAATCACCCCCAACAATGACCCAAGTTGTAACATCCAGATCCTTAAGGTACATAATTCCTTGAATTTATAGCTTTTGGAAGGGGGGCACGACATGAGAAATGATGGCCACGTCGTGAGTATTAGTTGACCAGTTGACCGCATTTTTTTTAGTCTCACGACGTGAGGACGACCTGATGACTCAAAACCCTAATATTTTAGGTATTTAAAGGAATGAGAGGCTAGGGTTGCACATGCTCAGCCTCTTACACCCTTTAAGCCTTCTGGAAATCCTAAATTCGACTCTCTTTGAGATCCTTAGTGTTTTTCGTGTTTGAAGGAGAAGAAAGAAAGAGAAGAAGCACCATTGTGAAGGGAGTTGCAAGGAAGCATAATTGTCATCATCTCTTCTCTTGTTTGGACCATTATAAGTATCAAGACTCAAGCTTTATTACATTCCATGGCTAGATCTAGGTTTTTTGGTCCCATTTCCTTATGTTATAGCTTGTTGGAGTGAAGAAGAGTCATAAAGTTAGGAACTTTATGGATTTAATTAGTCTTTTGAGTCTTATATCATTTATATCTAGAAGTTGGTAGAGTATTAGAAGCTTACATGAGAACTTGAGGCCATATTTCTATATTTCACTTAAAATGGTGTAGAGACATGCATGGTGCATGAATGTCCATAAAGAAAGAATTTTAATGGACCATTAGGGTCCCCTTAAGCTTCTGTAAAATTTGAAATTGAAGGCTGAACAAATTAAGAACATTGAATTGTTGGTTTGGGCTTCAGACCGTTATCACGATATGAGACATGAGGTCTCACAATGTGAGCAGGCAAAACTCGTCCCTTGCTGAGTTGTCTGAGTCAGGAGCGAATCTTTGGAATCAGAACGAGTGACTCTCACAATGTGGCCATGGATTTGGTCACGACGTGATACGTGATGATTAGGTTTTTGGGCCATTTCGAGTGATAGCTAGGGTTAGCAAGGTACAATACAAATTGGATATTCCTGGGGAGCTTATCCAGATTCACAACACCTTACATGTGTCTCAGCATCGGAAATATGTGACTGATGATTCGACAGTGGTTCTTCTGGATGATTTTCAAGTTGATGATCACCTAAATTACATTAAGAGGCTAGTGGTGCAAAGTGGTGGATCTTGTGAAGGTGCGGTGGCAGCACCGAAAGGGTTCGGAGTCGACGTGGGAACCCAAGTCAGAGATGTGGGAGCATTACCCTAAGTTGTTGACAGCAACGGACTTCGAGGACGAAGTCTGATCCAAGTGGGGGAGAATTGTAACATCCAAATCCTTGAGGTACATAATTCCTTGATTTTATAGATTTTGGAAGAGGGTCATGACGTGAGAAATGATGGTCACGTCATGAGTATTAGTTGACCAGTTGACCGCATTTTTGAGTCTCACGACGTGAGGACGACGTGATGACTTAAAACCCTAATATTGTAGGTATTTAAAGGAATGAGAGGCTATGGTTGCACATCTTCAACCTTTTTCACCTTCTAAGCCTTCTAGAAACCCTAAATTCAACTCTCTTTGAGATCCTTAGTGTTTTTCTTGTTTGAAGGAGAAGAAAGAAACAAAAGAAGCACCATTATGAAGGGAGTTTCAAGGAAGCATCATTGTCATCGGCTCTTCTCTTGTTTAGACCATTGTAATTATCAAGACTCAAGATTTATTTCATTTCATGGCTATATCTAGGTTTTTGGTTCCATTTCCTTATGTTATAGCTTGTTGGAGTGAAGAATAGCCATAAAGTTAGCAACTTTATGGAATCAATTGGTCTTTTGAGTCTTATATCATTCAGATCTGGAAGTTGGTAGAGTATTATAAGCTTTCATGAGAACTTGAGGCCATATTTCTACCTTTGACCTAAAATGGTGTAGGGACATGCATGATGCATTCATGTCCATAAAGCAAGCACTTTAATGGACCATTAGGGTCCCCTTAAGCTTCTATAAAAGTTGAAATTGAAGGTTGAATGGATTAAGAACATTGAATCGTTGGTTTGGGCTTCAGACCGTTCTCACGACGTGAGACATGAGGTCTCATGACGTGAGCGGCCAAAACCCGTCCCTTGCTGAGTTGTTTAAGTCAGGAGTGAGTCTTTGGAATAGAAACGAGTGACTCTCACGACGTGACCATGTATTTAGTCACGACGTGAGATGTGATGATTGGGTTTTTGGGCCTTGTTGAGCCACTACTTTTCTAACTTTGGGCCTTTATGGGACTTTTGAGTATTGATTGATTTTGACTTTGACCAGGTTTTCACCAAGTTTGACCCAAGAGTATTTTAGGTAGTTTGAGTAGTATTTGAGATTGGTCATTATTTGGTGTTTAAGTAACCAGTCTAGTTGTTATTTAGAGTTGTGTTCTGCCAGAGATCTTTTCGGACTGAGAGGTGAGTTTTCCCAAGGTTGGCCCAATGCATTGATATCCTGTTAGATATTGAGTTATAATATGTTGAGTATGTGATAGACCTGTTTGATTATCTGATAGTCATTGGTATGCGTTAGACTGGTAGATTTGTAGGACTACCTGTGATTTTTGGTTGTATAATTATCTGTCTGATGAGTATGTATAATATTTGTTATATGTCGACATGTTACGTTGGGGTTGAGACTACTGCTTTGTTCTGTCGGTCAACAGACCCGGGAAATCCAACCGGGAGGTTGTGGGCCATGACATTCCAACAGGGAGATTGTAGGCCAAAGGTAATCCAACCAGGAGGTTGTGGACCCAGTATGTGGTATGCATGCGATTCCAATCGGGAGGTTGTAGGCTAGGGTAATCCAATCGGGAGGTTGTGTACCCAACATGTTAATCTATGTATTTTATATGTTGTGTAATGGTATTTTGGGGGAACTCACTAAGCTTTGACTTACAGTATCAGTTAATTGTTTCAGGTACTTCTGATGATCGCAGGAAAGCGAATGTGTGATCGTGCACATTAACCCGCCATCCCTTTTAACTCTAATATATATTCAATTTAATAATTATTTGAATATTATCATGTATTAAACAACGTATTAATTTATAGATTATAATGTTGTATTTTTATTTATGTTTAAAAATACAATTCTAATTCTCATTCTTTTTCTTAGCACCGACAATTCTAGTTATTCTTCAAAATCACTTTGAAATTAAACATTTTTAATGTTATTTGAACAATATATATGTATTTGTGAATTAGGATTGTGCTTTTTGTCATTCTATGAAACTTTATTTACATTGAAACTAATTAATTTTTTTTATTTTAAATGGGTTAACCCAAGTTTAACCAATTTATATAGTAGGTTGGGTTGGGAACTACATAAACATGTCAACCCAGTGATAACTCATTTATCTAAAGGGTTGGGTTGGTTTTAAATATTAAACCATTTAAATAAATTGGTCTGAGTTGGGTTGAAAACTTCAACTGAATTAATAAATGGGTTGAACCCAAACCTAACCAACGTGGACCCATTGCCATCTCTAACTTCCATGCCGCAATTGCCAATACATTTCAACTTTTGGTTTTCGAACTATAGTTGAATCATAGTTTTCCCACATGAGACTGATGAGGGTGGATGTGTTAGCGTATATTTTTGTATTTTTGCATAGTTTTCTATTTTGAGGACATTTAGAAGAATTTCATTATGTGTAGAGTTCGAAATATGATAAAAGACTTGCGTGTTTGTGATGCAATCTCATTGTTCGAATGTTCATGAAAATATTGCAGAGAGAACAGTTGTTGGATATATGTCGGCTTAACTTTTTGAAAGGTAAATCGTTCACGGACATATATAAAAGAGTTAGGGTGTGTTTGGAAGTGTTTTTTAATCTTAAAAGCGTTTTTTTGTAAAAGTGTTTATCAAAAAGAAGTTTTTAAAAGGGGTTTGTGTTAGTTTTTGTGGTGGAAAAAGCTAAAAAATCAATAAGTTGTTTTAAAAAGCATTTCTAAAAAGCTAAAAAAATCATCAAAAAGATAGGATTTTATAGCTTTTTAAAACTCCCTTATTTTGCGTATCGAAAAAGATGTTTGAAAAACACTTTTGAACAACCAAACATTTCTTTAGTTTATTATCTTTTTGAAAAACTAATAAGGTAATAAGCTAATTTGAAAATCATTCCCAAACATCCACTTAGAAAATTATGTTATATTGTTGGTGTGACATTTTGTGATAATAGTAGAAAATATTGTCATTTAATAGTATATTAACATGATTATGTGATTAGTTACAGTAATCTTAAACTATTTTTTTTAATTCAATAAAAGTTGAACCCTCAACTTTTAGGTGAGAATCTTTTTATCAATATTTCGAGTCTTGTTTGGGAAAACTAACGGGGTAATGGTAAGCTTGTAGTTGGTAACTAGTACTGTTTTGTTAAAAGCTTCATGAGATAGTTTTTAGAATTTTTGAATGGTTTGTTTAAAACTAAATGTTAATAGCTTGTAGTGTCAACCGATGTATTTTTATTCGAAACGGAAGGTTTTGTCAATCATTAGAAGTTAAAAGCTTAATACAAAACACGTCCTCGATATTAGACAACTACAAACGACTACAATCATACTAAAAATTGCCTTTTTAGCTATAACATCTTGACTCGCAAAACTCGTGCAACTCATGAGTTTGACGCCTCTAATTCTATATTTGTTCGGAAACAGAAAAAGTAAAAAGAGATAAATAGACCAAAGAAGTTTTAGATGACACGTTTCTTTCTCCCCCGAAAAACCACTATTTATTGCTTCTCTTCATTACAAACACTTTTCATTCTTCAAAACCTCATAATTCTTCCTTTGTTCTTCAGTTTCCACCATAAATTTTGCATATTACACACACTAATTACACGCACATGGCACACACTTTTGTTCACAAAGACGAGATTGACCTCCCTCCAGGTTTCCGATTCCATCCAACAGACGAAGAACTTATATCTCACTACCTTTACCCAAAGGTTTCAAACATCAATTTCTCTGCTCTAGCGATTGGAGAAGTCGATTTGAACAAAGTCGAACCATGGGAGCTTCCATGTAACTGCTCTGTTTCTTAAATTTTAAATCTTCCCCTGTTTTGCTCTGACTTTTTCAATCTTTAAAATACTGAAACTGAAATCGAATTCGTTTGATTTGTAGGGAGAGCAAACCTCGGTGAGCAAGAATGGTTCTTCTTCTGTGTTCGTGATCGAAAATACCCAACTGGATCAAGAACTAACAGAGCTACAAGTGCAGGGTATTGGAAAGCTACAGGGAAAGATAAAGAGATTTTCAAAGAGAAATCGCTCGTGGGTATGAAGAAAACACTTGTGTTTTATAAAGGAAGAGCTCCGAAAGGTGAAAAGACAGATTGGGTTATGCATGAATATCGATTAGATGGAAAGTTTTCAACGATTAATCTCCCAAAATCCTCCAAGGTATTGATAACACGTACTCTGTTTTTCTTAAAGGGTTACTACTTACTAAATGGTTTTATTCTAAAATTGTTGTGTTTATACTTTGTAGGGTGAATGGGTGATTAGTAGGGTTTTCTACAAGACTACGGGTGGGAAAAAGATTTCGATTTCAGCTTTATTGAAGATGAAGAATGGAAACACCTATGAACATGACTTCGGCTCTGCAGATTTGCCTCCATTAATGGAGATTTCAAGTGTGGAAGGAGGATCAAGAACCGAGACATCTCACGTGACCTGCTTCTCCAATTCCATGGAAGAACAAAAACCAAAGAACGAAGAAATGATGGGCAGTTGGAGCTCAGGGAATTCATTAATGGCGTCAAGAACTGATAACGTTTCTTTCCTTTCAAATCAAATGGCCCCAAACGTTGAAAATTATCAGTATCAAGACACGACTTGGATGCAAGATCCATCGATCCTTAAAATCTTGCTTGAGGCCAACAATGATTCAAGTGTTCGACAGAATTTGAAAACTGAATTGGTGGATGAACAAGATTATGGTATGAGTTTGGGTGGTCAAGTTGATCTTGATAACATATGGAATTATTGAGGATAAGAGATTGAGGAATACAGAAGTTAGTGAAAACAAGGTAGAAAGACTGAAAGATTTAAAAATGTTTGGATAATACATTTTAGGTTTAATTTTAATGATTTGGTTTAATTGTAATGATTTGATAGAATCAAAAAGTGGCTATACTATGTAACTCGTGAATTTAATCATGGGTTTTTATTGCTATTTAAGTTTGTGTAATTGTAGTTCAAGTAAATATATAAATTTGTAGCTAACAAACAAATATACTAAATAAATGTTTTAAAAATAGTTTTCCTAATGTTTGTTAAAAAAGTAACAATTTATCTTGTTTTATAAAATAACAACTCATATTGTTATAATCTCTAACTTATATATAAAAAAGTTATGTTTACCATTAAAAGGACCACATAAGTTAGTCGTATTTTATATTTTATTAGGACCAATAATGTATAACCAACATGGTTCTTATCATAGTTGATATTTTTGTTTTTTTTTTTTTCACACCCATTAAATAAAATTGAGATAAAAGTGATGTTAACTTTGTATTTTAAGTTTTCTTTCGAACTATCATTGTCTTAATTATTGAATGCTTTTTAAGGGACACCCATTAATTTAAAATTGGTTTAATTAGTGTTGAAGACTAAAATTTGGCATTATCCTCTCGGTATCATGAATGTCAAATGTAATAAAAGAATTATATTGGTAGGCCAACAACCAAGGTTTTGATGGCCTCATACAAAATTGGATGACATAAGTTGAGAGTTGTGTAGTAACCAACTCCTTTTATATTATTAATACGCATTATAAATATCTTATAAGTTGAAAAAATAGAAGTATAATCGACTAATCATATTCGACCTTTATAGTTAAAGATAGTCCAGTAATCTTATTTTAGTATATTAATTTTTTATAGCACTTTTTTATATTTTCCCTATTTCATTACTTTATTCCTACTTATTCAAAAAAACAATTGATTGCCGGTTTTTTAATCAATATTCGTTATCCATTGGACTATCTTCTTGGGCTGATTCGACTTCATTGTTTGGCGGTCAACACAAGGACTTTGATGTGGTTGTTTTGACGACGTTTTGGTGTTTATGGAATTTTCGTAACTTCATAGTTTTTGGAACGGCTATCCCTACGAAGTCCATTTTCTTTGATGATATTATTGATAGATTGTATTTTTGGATTTTTAATAGATGTAACAAAGCTAATCTTAGTTGGACCCCTTGGATCCATAATGCGGCTTTAGCCTCTTTTTTATTGTAATGGATTTTGTCTAGTTCCTTGCTAGTCTTTTAATAATATTTTCTATCGTTCCAAAAAAAAATGTTCGTAACTCATTATTACTACTTTCGATCATACAAATTAGAAGTATAACCACTCACGAAATATTGTCGTTCAAAATAATAATAACAAAGACAATTTTAAAATTAGTTTTTGTTTTGGAAAATAACACTTTTAGAATATCTTTTGAAAGCATTACACCGGTGGTCCTTATGGTTTAAAATCGAATATCGGTTTAACGTTTTCTAAAAATTTTTTGAAAATACCGTTATACTCTTTGGGTTGGGCCAGTTATGTGAGTTAGGGTTGGGCCCATTATATTCTTTGGGTTGGGCCCGCTATATGAGTTTGAATTGGGCCCATTATACTCTTTAGGTTTGACCCGTTATGTATTGATACATCCATGTGGATAGTAGAGTAGGTAGGTCGGTGCAAGAACCAAGGACTTCGTGTGGATGCATTGTATGTATGATGAAATATGTGATATATTGGGGAACTCATTAGGCTCTATGCTAACAATTGTGGATAAAATGTTTTCCAGGTTGTTCGTGAGTAGAGTTGGGCGAAACTATACACCCGCATCGAAGATATCGATTTCCGCTGTTTTTGAAATTGGGTTCTGATAACGTTATTGTTGAAAAATGTTTTTGTATGTGACCATCACTGAAATAAGATGAACTGTATTTATTTAATCTGACAAATATTATCAGTTATTTCAGGTTTCATGGATTCGTAATTAAACAAAAATACGCAAAGGCGAAATACGCAAAGACGGAAAGTCAACCACGTTTGAAGACAAAAACCAATCAAGGGCTAAATGTGTCAAACTTCAAAACAATTTGGATTAATTATGTAAATTCAATTAATCTTAATTGAATTTATGTATATTAATTTATTTGTATTTCATTTGCAAATACCTAGTGAAGAAAAGATACATCTCCAAAATACAAGTATTTATACCAAATACCTAGTATTTATACCAAATACTTCTCTTGCAAATCAAAGAAGCAAAAGCCAAATTGACTTCTACTACTCCACCTCTTTATTTGACAGCCAATAATCCATACATATTAGATATTTATGTGTGTGTATGTATACTTGTATGTATGTATGGAAAGTGTATGTATATGTAAGTTAGTATATAAGAGAGTTGTGTGCTCTTTCATTCAAAACCTCTTATAAACTTTGAAAACCTCTCCATACACCAAAACCTCTCAACCAAGAACATCTCCTGCATCTTCAAGAAGTTCTTCAACATCATCTTCATCTTCATCCTTGAAGCAAGAACACCAAGAACACCAAGAACACCAAGAACATCAAGAACACCAAGAACACCAACAACATCAAGAACACCAAGAACACCAAGAACACCCTCCAAACAACCTACAAATACCCTCCAAACATCCTACAAATACCTTCCAAACATCCTCCAAATACCCTCCTTAAACCTCCTCCAAACATCCTTTAAACCACCACAAAATCTCCACCTTGCTGTTTTTTCGACATCAGAATTTCGAAGTTAAGAAAAAAATCACCGAGAACAACTCAACAAGATAATACTGGAGAGATTTTTACCACAAATTATTCAGAACCTTACCTACATCTAGGAAGTTTTCTGGACGATTTTGACCAAGGGAAACCCCAGAGAGACGATATACAAAATCGGGTATCCAGATAGATTTCGGTTCACCAGATCAGAATCTTCAAGTCAGAAACAAAGCTAACTGGTACAATACATCCAACAACCCTGGAGAGATTTTTATACCACAAATTATTCAGAACCTTACCTACATCTAGGAAGGTTTCTGGACGATTTTGACCAAGGGAAACCCAGAGAGACGATATACAAAATCGGGTATCCAGATTTTCTGTTGACCAGATCAGAATCTTCAAGTCCAAAACAAACGTAACTGGGTATAATACATCCAACAAACCCTGGAGAGATTTTTACCACAAATTATTCAGAACCTTACCTACATCTAGGAAGTTTTCTGGACGATTTTGACCAAGGGAAACCCCAGAGAGACGATATACAAAATTAGGTATCCAGATAGATTTCGGTTCACCAGATCAGAATCTTCAAGTCCAAAACAAACGTAACTGGGTACAATACATCCAACAAACCCTGGAGAGATTTTTTATACACAAATTATTCACCTACCTTACCTACATCTAGGAAGTTTCGTGGTCGATTTTGACCAAGGGAAACTCCAGAGAGACGCCAGAGAAAATCGGGTATCCAGAGAAATATATCCAAAAATTAAGAAACTTCAAACCCTTATGTAAACAAATTGTTTTACATAAATTTGAAAACAAAAAGAATTTTGTGCTACTTATCATATTCCGGATTGAACTATTGAACAATAGTGACAAAGTCTTTTAGTTACCAGTCCACCCTAGCCTGTTCAGTCAATTTATTGGCGAACTTACTTGAAAAGACCAGTCGCTTCATCCGTCCAGTTCTCTAAACCCGTTATATATATTTATACATATTATTTAACTTCTAACATTTATTACAGTCATTTATAGTTACATTTATAGTATTAAACGTTAACGTTATTTAAATACAGTTATTTACTTTATTTATAGCTTTCAGTCATTATTGCTTTCTAGTGGTGACTAATAATCCCATATTTATTTCCGCAACTATTATTGTTTATATCCGCATTTTATCTAATAATAATTATATAAATATCTGTCACACAGTAACTGTATCCGAGCCGTTATTCGTGGTGATTAGATCTTATATTATAATTTCTAACAGTTATGGCTTCAAACAAATGAATTTCACTTATTGTTTTTAAGTTAAAGGTTTTAATTGGTTAATCTGGTTTTAAAATGACAAATCTATTTGTAATTTTCGGGACGTTCCAAATTTGTATCAAAGCCTTAGTTTTAGGGATTTGGACGCGCCTTACGGTATGTCTGAAGTTAAACTGAGGACTGAGAGATTTCTAAACTAAGTTTTTGAAAGAGAATGTTTTACTCAAAGAAACTTAAGAAAATATTTGAGTCAGAAACATGAGCTCGGTCGTTTGCCATGTTCTTATTTGATTGTTGGCTTGAGATCGTAAACATGGTTTCCTGATTTAACTTCAAGTTCAAAAAGAAGTATTTGATGTATATAGTCATCCCTAGCTCATGAAGTAAGTGATTCCCAATATAGTGATATGGTTAGGTATTTGTGTCGTGGATCGTATGCATGCTAGATTATAGATTAAGGATCTATTCAGGAATTGCATGATATAATTTCTTGAGCAGTATAGATACCTCATATGCCTTTCGTGCTAATTGCAGTATGTGTTTTGGAATCTTTGTGTGATATTGTTGAGCTATTAATCGAATCCATAACGGTTGTACATAACTGGAATCTAATAGCCTTAGAATTTTTGTTTTGGCCTCATTAATTGTTCCTTGTCTAGTTGTAGTTTTAGGGTAGAGATATTTATTCGAATGTCTATTTCATTATGGTTTATGTATGATTGTGCATTAGAGAAGCATTTCCTGTGATGTTAGTTGAGAGTTGTTCGGCTTGTGGGTTTGTGGGAAAGGAGAATCCTAGAGAGAGTCTAGGAAGTGTAGTATTATACATATGTCTAGACGTATGCAAGTGTGCTAGGAGTTTGGAGGCGTGAATTGAAATGACTTAGGAGTCTTGGAATAATCCTTAGAACAGGTACGGATAGGTGTGGAAGGTAGTATTGGACTCGTACTACTAAAAGCATAGGATCCATACTTGGGTCAAGGCGACGTTACAGGAATACCAAGGAACTTGTAGGTGGGCATGCATAGTGTGGGTTAGCATTGTGTATTGATTTTGATGTGCTTCCTTTATCTTTTATATTCAGGATGGTGAGATTTCGTGTTGGAGATTCAGGTCTGAGTGAGAGG